CCCCCGCCGGGTCCAGCCCCCCCAGACCGGAACCGCCGTCGCCCGCGGGGCCCGGGCCGAGTCCACCCGCTGGCTCTGCGCTTGTTTGGCGTCCTCGTACCTTTCACAGGCTAGCGGAGAAAACCCATTCATGTTGAGTTTCTTTTTTACAATAACGATAATATGCTAGCATGAGGCGTATCCCCGCCTCAATCAGGAGGCGGAAAACCGTAGCCTGTACCGTACAGTACAAGTACCACCGCCCAGACCCACAGCTGCGAGTGACTGGCCTCAAACGCAGGTGTAGCTGAACCGAGCGGGATCGCTTTGCCCACCTTCCGTGTTTTCCCTCGTGGAGCGGAGAGAGGACCCAAGAGGCGGCCTAGGGTCTGATTTTAGCTGTCTTTAAGCCTACCTAAGACTTCACACAAGTCATATCTCCACTCAATTTTTTTTTCCTTTTCCTGTCTTTTTTTAGACGGGGTCTCGCTATGTAGTTCAGGCTAGCTTTGTACTCACTATGGAGTCCAAGCTGGGCTTTAACTCGTTTAGCTCCTCCTGCCTCAGCCTCCCTAGTGCTGGGATTACAGGCATGTGCCTCTTCACTCAGTCTTTGGTGTTTTAAACATTTATTGACACACTAGTGCTGATCAGAAAATGAATAAGGTTCCTGATTAAGCACCTTCAACTGTCCAGCCAGTAGTATTTGTTAAGCTTAATATGGTGATATAGTTCTGATTGTGATAAACAAGGTATCATTTTGTGGACTGCAAGAGAGTAAATATACTGCAGCTCATGTGCAGTTCCTTACAGTACTAGTTTGGTCCTCCTCCAACTTTGAAGTTGTATCTGATTTTCTTACTAGTCTGCGTCCAAATCCATCGAGGAATGGATGGTTCTGCTTTTGCTTCTTGGCCAGGAATCGCTTGATTCTGAGTCTTGTAGAAAGACATAGTTAGGCTTGGAAGCAAGTATATGCACTTGATGACGGGCAGAAGGGCTGTTTTGAGCAGGGCATGGTAGCACACATCCGTAATCCCAGCACTCAGGAGGCTGAGGTAGAAGGGTTGCCGTGAGTTCAAGGCCAGCCTCTCTCTACATAAGAGAGTTCAAGGTCAGCCTGCACTATATAGCGAGACCTTGGCTCAAAAAAAGGGGTGTTTTTTAATGCCGTACTGCAACCCAGGGCCTGATGCATATTAGCCAAGCACTGTACCACCCAGCTACAACCCCAACCCTTCAGCCTATAATTCTTTAAGTGAACTTCCAACTCTTTGACTTGCCTGGGCTACAATGAGTGAACAAGAATTCTTTGTTCACTCCTTCAGTGAATGAAAAAAAAAAAAAGAATTGTCTTTGGGCCACATGGAGAATACATAATGTAGGCAACAATGTTTCCCTTTTACTATATTTTTATTATAACATTTAGAAAGGGCAAGTGGCCCACAGGCTGCAAGTTGGACAATAAGGATGGTGCCTGTACTTAGTAGAAGGTGTTTGACTTCCTACAGTCCCAAGAAACAAGAGAAACTTAGGCAAACGATAGCTTAGGTCAACAAAGATGTGGAGAGAGAGACAGTATATGTGCCTCAGGTTCATCTAGAAACCTTAACCTTCCCTTTGATGGTAGGTCAGAAGTGCAACTGAGATCCCAGCACTTTGGGAGGCTGAAGCAGGACTGAGAATTCAAGCCCAGACTGGACAACTTGGTGAGACCTTGTCTCAAAATTAAAAATTAAAAAAGGGCTGGGGATGTAGCTTATTGCACAGGCCTTGGATTCAATCCCTAGTTCTGACAGGGGGAAAAAAGTATTTTCATAAAGAAGCCCATTCCATGCTAAACAACAAAAACCTTATTCTGTACTCTGTGCATGGCTAATGTACATGCTGAGGATTGAGCTCCATGCCTGTCGGGGGCAGTAAGCACACGCTCTACCACTTAGCTACAGCTTCAGCCTGGTTTTGTTTGTTTGTTTTGAGACAGGATCTTACTGTGTAGCCCTGACCAGCCTCAAACTTCAGGCAATCCTCCAGTCTCAGCCTCCTGAGTGCTGGGACTGCAGATGGGCGCCACTATGTCCCCTCAGTCTGTTCTATATCCTTATGTCCCTCTAGCCATTGTCACACCTACCCACAATCATATTTTTATCTTTTAAAAAATATTGTAATTAAATATATATTGTTATATACATCAGATATTAGATGTAGTATTCAAATTTAAATACAAATGATTTCCTTTTTATATTTTTTTCCCAATTTTTTTATTAAGATCACAAATTAGCTGGGTGTGGTGGTGCATGCCTGTAATCCCAGCACTTGGGAGGCTGAGGCAAGAGGATCGCTGTGAGTTTAAGGCCAGCCAGGGGTAGTAAGTGAGTTCACAACCAGCCTGAACTGCATAGTGAAACCCTGTCTCAAAAAACACCAAAAAAAAAAAAAAAAAAAAAAAAAAGAACAAAAACAAAAACCCACTTCATGCAATGTTTTGGCAAACAGGTACAGATTTGAGGTAACCCAGTCATGTGCTTTGGAAAGAAAATTAAGTAGCAAAAACAATTAAGAGAAAGGAGACCAGACATGAGAATGCGGCAGTAATACAAGCAAATGAGTGGGAATAGAGAGATCGTTTTTAGGAGATTTTAGAAATTATAGAACATTTTAAACTCATAAACAAAATATGCGGGAAAGAAAGGGGCCAGAATAACCTTTTTAAAATGTATGGGGAAGGCAGGTGGAAGAGGCAAACATATGTATATGTATGATTATCAATTTTATTTCACACAAAGCATGTTGGAGGAAGTTGGCATAAGTAAACTTACTATAACACACAAGTTGAGAAGAATCAAACAAAAATGCAAGCTTTATGGTACGGAGAATAGGACGTCCCAGGGATAAAGAGAAGAAAAACAAGGGTGAGGGCAATAAGCCTTCACAGTTAGGAAAAGGAAAAGATACAAGAGGGAGAGAGCTTCCACAAGGGGGTGAATTAAGAGTGGAAGAAACTACTAAGAAAGGTAAGGACTGAGAAAACAGCACTAGTTTGGTTAAAAAAAAAAAATTAAAAGGTACGTTGAGTGGTGGAAAAAGCCAAATTCAAAAGAACTGAGCAGTAAGTGATGGTTACAAAGCGGAAAAAAACCCCTGTTTGTCCAGACCCCTCCCACCCCATCTCGCCCCAGCAGCGGTGAAGCTCCCCCGGCCCGCCCGGCCCGCCCCTGCCTCCGGCCCCGGCCCCGGCCCCCTCCCATAGTTACTTGAATGACTAAAGTTCATGTCTTCTCAGGTAAGTGTCCTGGTCTTAGGCCAAAATCAGTGCTTTAGTCTCTTCCTCGCTGTCAGCGCCCAGTACCAGCGCCTGGCTTCTCCCCGCTCTCCGCTTCGCTTCTGGCCTGGACGTGGGAGGCGAAGGCGGCGAACATCTCCTGAGCGGTGAGGTGGGCGCTGCGCATGATCAGGCGGTGCCCGTCCCCTGGCAAGATCCAAACACAGTGCTCAGCCCCGGGGCACTGCGGGGTGGCGGCGCCGCGCCCCTCCCGCCCGTCCGTCCGTCCGCCCGCCCGCGCCCACCGAACAGCACGTCCACGCAGGGCTCGGAGCCGTCGTGCCGCACGTCCGCGATCACCGCGCAGTTCAGATTGGTGGAGCGAACCTTCTCGCTGCTCACCGCCTGGAGGAAGGTCCTGCGGGGGTGCGGGGTGTGAGCGCTCGGGCTGGGGGAAGCCAAAGGCGGAGCCCTTCCCCACCCTCCCCTTTCACCTCTCCCGTACCTCGTCGACTCCACGTTCTTCTCGAAAGGGCAAAACTGAACGCGAACTTGCTTGACCGACCGCAGACCGAGCCGAGCAAGGGCGGCCGCCATGGTGACCTCCGCCCCGGAAGCACTCCGGCGGCGGGGAGTGTTGCTAGGATACGGATGCGGAGGACCGACCTGAGCCTTCTGCCGCCCTCTGCTGCTTCCGGGTAGAGACTCCCAGCCGGTGCTTCCAAACTGCCGCCCTGGGTCCCCAGCCCCAGGGGAGGAAGGCAAGGAGGAAGAGGTGATTTCGTTACAGGATGTGACGGGACCCACAACGGTCAGTAAGTACTACCCATGGTGAAGTCCACTTGTACTGCTGCGAAAACAATAGTGCAAAACGCCTTTGCAAAAACAAAAATAAAAACAAAAAAACGCCTTTGCATCAAAAACACCTGTCTTCTGTAGCTGCAGCCTTTCCCTTTCCGTATCTTTCTGTGCCAGATCTAGGTTAACGCCAGTTTAAATTCTGGTTCCCTTCAAGGAGAGGACACTGCCATAGCAGTGATTATCTGCCTGCCAGGATGTAAATTCTATTCAGGTAACCGAATAACCAAAGCTTAAATGGAAGGTCCCGCAGCCCAATATTCTTAAATGACTGAAAATAGTAATGGAAGGAACACAGGATAACACACCCCTTAGGACTGATCCACGTGCTTATTTCACCTCTGTAGCTCTCCAAGAATTAACCGTTGTTAGCCTGGGTCCTGGGATTTATGAGGAAGCACCATCTAGCTTGTTTTCTATGGTCTTCCCTTTCTCCTGAGATCTAACCCTCTATCCCTGAGATCTTGTCAGAAGAGAGAACTAGGCCTGAGCCCCACACAGATGCTGACCTCCAGGTTACAGGCAATGATTTTGCTCTTTACTGTGGATTACAGGCACTAGAATGATCTTGGAGTCTTTTGTAATTCCAGGCGCTATGCAGTTTATGTATACTTTCTTCTAAACACTCAGGTCTAGGTTTCTTGAAATTGCAGTTCCAAATGTCCATGGTTTTCCATTCAGAGATGAAGAACTCCTAATCCTAGGTCTCTCAGGCTTCAGGACTGGTCCCCAGGCAGCCAAGAAAAGGCAGGGACCAAGGGGCGCGCCGGTGCTGCCTAAGGGCAAGCCAGGCCTGCTGATTTCCTACCAGGTAAGCCTCAAGGCTAGCTCTCCCAATCCCCAGGGTGCTTTGCAACTGGGTTGTCTGGGCTGGGTTGTCTACTCCAGGCTGTAGAGAGGGCTCCAAGTTCTCCAGGCTGTTGAGGCTGCTGCTGGCCAATCCCATGGTCTGGACCTCATTACAAACACCTGGTAAGGCAGGAGTGGAAGTTAAGTGGCTGATAGATGCTAAAACCAGATCAAAGGTAGGTAGGGTGTGGGTCGCTTGAAGCAATTGGCAGCGGGCTGGGGTTGGGTAAAGAAAATGACTCACAGCAACAAAGGGACCTCCTGTGGACTCGCGTTTTGGGCAGAGGCTGTTGCAGTAGACACAGCAAGGCCCCATCTAGCTGCTGGAAGATGCCGAGCATGAGCAGAGTCTGACGAAGCTCCGGGGACAGGTCCCACCGCTCTTCTTCCAGCAACTCCCTGACCACTCCAAAGTCTTGTCTGAGCTGCAGCGCCCCCTGCAGGCTGAATGTCCAGTGCAATATGGCCACCCTACTCCTTCCTCTCCGAACTGCTCCACCGCCACCCATCCCCCGCCTTTTCCCCAGTTCCATTCATCCCCCTGCCACTGGTGCCGTTCCTTCCCACCTGAACCGGATCCTATGCGTAAGGATGTGGTCGAGCCAGGCACCCAGGATGGCTGTCAGCGCCTGACTGAGGGCGAGGGCCTGGGCTTGGGGTGGCAGTTCCTGCACTCCTTGCAACACCGGCTCCAGTACAGTGCGAACCACCAACCCAGCGTACTCACTAGGAACTCGGGGAAGTTCTGGAGGGAGAGAAAAGAAAGGACAGACCATGAGGCTGTGAAGATCCACGGGGTCCCTAAATGGAGTGTTCGGGCGAAGAGGCTAGGATGGCAGGAGGGGAGAGCACAGAAGGTGAAGACCAGAATGGAGGCAGAGGTGTGGGGCAGGATTTGCAAGGACGGGGACACTATCACCCCCGGGAACCCTGGAGGAGAATCTAGGATGAACAGTTACCAGGACAGAGACGCAGCCTCCAGTACCGACCCTGTGGCATGTAAAGCTTGAAGCCCTGTGTGGCTTGTTTATGACATTCTTGGAAAAAAAGACTTAGTGACTCTTCAGGCAGGAGCTGTGGGGATAGGGAGAAAGTAAAAGGGGCCTATTTGTCAGGAACTTTCCAAATTATGATGCTGCGTATACCCGAGGTTTTCATCTTGGTGTCCATAGAACCCCAGAATTGAATGTGTAATTGTGCAGGTCTGGGAATTTTCTGGGTGAGATGCCATAGCTTACACTGAGTTTTCCGATTGGTCTAGACCCAAATTACAGTAGAAATAATTGTCCTAGGGTTACCCTGCTCTCCTCAGCTGGATTCAGTGGATGAAAAAATCTTCAAGGTTCACTTCATTCTATAGGAACTTTAGGGAAAAAAGAGACTACTACCCTCTTAACGTGTAAAAGTACCACCTATGTGCAAAAGCACATGACTGACAGAGGGATGATTTTCAGATGGGCACAAGTTGAGGGAAAAGGAGGAATCATAATAATCTACAAAAAGCAAGCGGGAACTGTATGCAGATCAGACACATTCACTATTGTAATGTTCTGGGATTCAGCAACCTCTGGAATGTCCTTACATTAAATATTCTTGACAGCCTACTACTATTTCTCCAGAGCAATAGAATTCATGAATCCAGAAAAGGCCTATATGCTGGGTTTGTTTGGGGGGCTTGTTTAGTAGGTGTATTATCCCAAAAGAGAAGACAGCAATAAAGAGGATTTCTGCTGAGTAACCCATCTTGGAGGAGAGGAACCCCAAGAAATGGGGTATATGGTGGCAGCTCTTTAAAGAAAATGTGGATGCCAGGGGATCTAAAGAAAGAAAAGAAGACCAGACATAGTGGCACATCACTGTTATCCTAGCACTCTGAGAGGCTGAAGCAGGAGGATTGCGAGATGGCTCTCAGCCTAGGCAATTTAGCAACTTAGAACTTGTCTCTAAATAAACAAACAGGCTGGGATGTAACTCAGTGTGAAGGCCCTGGGTTCAGTCCCTGGGAGGGAGAGTGAGAGTGAGAGTGAGAGAGAGAGAGAGAGAAAGCAAGCCAGAGGGGCCAGGTATGGGATAGAGCCCATGTGGCTCCTGGTACATCTGACAACAGCCTATCTAAGTCGGAACTCTTCTGTTTTCCAGCAAACCAGATTCCCCTTCTCTTTATATATTATATAAAGGAAATTACCCTTTGCTCTTTTATCTTTGGACTTGGGGATACGAAGTACATAGTAAAAGGCTCCCCAACCCATTCTGAGATCTTAGCAGCAAGCTGGGGCACAAACATACAGCATCTGTTCTTCTTTCTCATCCCAGGGTTATATGTGCTAAAGCAGACAGAGCAGACACTCAAAAATACAATCACCAGCCAGAGGAGCAAGGCTTGTGCAGTGCTTTGCGGGTGTTCGGTCCACAGAGGGAGCACTCTATCCCTATCCTTTTTGCTCTGTTAACTACCAAGAGCTGAACGCTTCTCATCCCATGTCTTCCCACTTCCCCTCTAAAATGCTCCTATAGCTAGATCAAACTTCTGTCACCATCTTCAGTGTGCCCCTTCTGCTACCGTAATAGCTCCTCACCACTCATGAGACACAGCCCCATTCTGTGGGCTGGAGTCCAATGCCCTCCCCAACTGGATGCCAACTCACTTCTTACTCCAAGCCCCACACCTTCCCAGCATAGTCTGCTCTGGTCAGGCCATCTCCCTTTTACTCTCCAAAGATTATGAACAGCACACCTCCGATAATCACTGCTGTTCCACTGAAGCTGCCCAGCCACCAACTCGAGCCCTAGGTCCCATGTGGAACCTTCTGTTTACGGCCCATGCCTACCCTGGTCTTCCTTCCTAAGGGCTCCCATGACCACTACTGCCTGCCCTACTCATGGTGTGCCTGCTCTTGGGCATGCTGAATAAGGAGAAAGCAGTGGTTGAGGTGGAAATGCCCGAGAGGCAAATGCAGATGCTGGAGTAGAACTCTGGTAGCCAGAAAAACTAAACGATGGGAATTCATACATCAAGACACTATGGGTATGCCGGGTGTGGTGGCGCACGCCTGTAATCCCAGCACTCGGGAGGCTGAGGCAGGAGGATCGTTGCAAGTTCGAGACCAGCCTGGGCTACAAGATGAGTTCAAGGCCAGCCTGAACTGCATAGCGAGACCCTGTCTCAAAAAGACAAAAAAAAAAAAAAAAAGAAAAAAAAAAAAGAAAAAGGACACTATGGGTAATCAGAAATGTAGAAGAAAGGGGAAGAGGGTCGACATGAACTCTACAGTCATGTCTCCGTTCAGGGCAAAGAGGAGAAAACTGGGTAGGAAGAGAAAAACAGAAAGACATGTTCCATGGTAGGAGTAGATAATGTGCAAAATGGGGCAAAATTAAAATAGAAGTTTAATGGCTTCATTCGTAAATATAGAAGCTCCTAGGAGAAACAGCCAAGTATGGCAAAAGTTACCAGTCTAAAACAGGAATCCAAAGTGGGGCTGGGGGCAAATAAAGTGCTCTTTTTTCCACTGGCTGCCTTATACTAATCTAGGAGCTGGGTGTGGTGGCGCACACCTGTAAACCTAAGGCAGAAGGATCGGAATTTAAGCTCAGCCTGTACAACTTAACAAGATCCTGCCTCAAAATAAAAAAGGGCCGGGGCATTGTTTCTCTGGTGTGAGAAACCAAAAGTGTAAATGAGGACCAAAATGTATAATAGATATTAGGAAATCGGAAGAAAATGTTCAAAGGAACTAGGAAGGGGAGAGGGGGAAAGGAAAGAAGGGAAAAGAAATAATGAGAAAAAAAAAGAAAAATGGAAACAAAGCTTTTGTAAATAAGGAGGGGAAGAGGGGTTGAAGGGAGGGTAGGGGAATGGGGAAAAAAAGAATCATGATGTATCATGTACACATAGAAATTCCCTATGATGAAAAAGGTCATTATGTATACCTAAAATGTATTAGAAACTTAATTAAAAAGTAAAATAAAAAGGGCTATGGCTCAGTGTGAAGGCGATGGGTTTAATCCCCAGTACCAAAAGGAAAAAAAAAAAAAAAAAAACATGGTTTAACAATTTCACTTTGTGTGTGTGTGTGTGTATGAGTGTGTGGAAGGGGGTTGGTAGGGATTGAATCCATGGTCTTGTGCATAATAGGCAAACACTGTAACACTGAGCTACACCCCCAGCCCCTTTTGATTTTTTATTTTGAGACAGGGTCTCCTCCTCCTGTGTCAGCATTTCAAATACTAGAATTACAGATGGGAGGCACCTTACCTAACCTATTTCTCTTTTTACACTATGGACATATATTACTTTAATAAGAACACATATTATACTTTTAAAGAGAAACACTTTAAAGGAAGAAACACTGTACTGAACACTGGTAAGAAAAAAGAAGCAATTATTTATCCCGATTTCTCTTTACAAAATTTACCTCTCTTTACAAAATTTATCCAAATCATTAGTGAGGGTAGGTTTCTCTTTATAGGAGTTATCCAACTAATAAATGAAAAAGGAGTGATAGAGGTGGAATGTCACCCTTTTGCCACCTCTAATGAAATAATGAGTCTAGACAGTGACTGTCTGCAGCTATTAATATCACCAAATCGGAGTCTGATGTTATTGGAAAGGTCTATAAATGCAACGAAATTGACCATCAGTTGATAATATTTAAAGCCATGGTGGTGGGAATATGGGGTCTACTCTACCTTCTCTCTACAACTGTATATGTTTAAAATTTCCTACAGTAAGAAGTTAAAGAGGGGGTTGGGGGTGTAGCTCAGTGGCACAGCGCCTGCCTGGCAAGCTTGTGGTCCTGAGTTGGATTCTCAGTATCAAAAAAAAAAAAAAGAGGAAGAAGAAAGTTAAAGAGGCTGGGGACGTACCTTGGTGGTGGACTGCTTGCCTAGTGTATGTGAGGCCCCAGGTTCAATCCCCAGCAACACATACATGCACGTGCTAACACACACACACACACATACACACACACACACACACACACACACACAAAACAAAAAAACTAACAAAGCAAGAAAAAATAAATCTAGTGAAGACTTCAAGGATTGCAAGACACTGAGATGTTTCACTCTGCCCTTCCCCCTAGGTTGGCAGAGAACAGGGTCTTAAGCTGCTACTGTGAGGACCCCTCCCTGTTCTCCTCACCTGCATCTGTGCAGTCAGCTTCTGGATCTCCAGGCCTAGCTGCTGCTCCACTTCCAGAGTTAAGTTTTCCTCTGAAGTCAGACTGGATAAAGCTTCGGCCTCATTCAATAGAGGCTATGGGTGGAAACAGGAAGTGAGGGCTTGGTGTAGCCTAAACCGTCCCCATCCCCGCTTCCCAGCCACTCACAGGTAAGTGCTTCTGGATCAGGAGCAGGAAGGAATCTGGGGCCCATGCTGCCAGGTGCTGCTGAGTTCTGCCCACCAACCAGAGCAAGGTGATCTGCAGGGTACAGAGCCCTAGGGCAACAGGTGCTGGGCCTGGAAGCAGAGTAGCAGAGCATCTTACAGGTCATGGAGCACCTCTGGGAGGAAGCAGACTTCAGAGTAGAGTGGGAACAAAAAGGTATCTTCAGCTGTTTTTCCCAGCCCACAGCTCACCTGGAGGCTGACAGAGGATCAATCCTGACCTGCATTCTTGGAGGGTGTCTAAGAGTGGGGCAAAAAGCTGCTCCAACAGTTCAGTAGTATGAGAGTGCGAGGCAGGGCTGCTCTGATCCCCAAGGGCTGCCGATGCCAAGGCCTGGCAGAAACCTGAAGATGAGGGGTACACTCTGATACAGGAGGGGCAACCTGGGTCCTGTCTCACCCCAAAGGAGACTCTTCTCACCTTGGTCCCAGCTCCGGATAAGAGAATGATGAAGTAGGTTGTGGCACAAAGAAGCCAGCTCCTTCACACACTCCTGAGGCAGGGATGCTAGAGAGAGAAATAACCCTGGAGCCTGAGCATAAGGTCTCCCTCTCCACAGCCCCTCCCCACTCAGAGAAGGGTCCTCCACAACTCAAGACTGGGGAGAAAAGCAAAACTTGGCCCTGAAAGGCCAGAAGCGGTATTCTGAGCCCAGGGCCTGTTCATTCAAACAGACTGCTTCTGACATCAGGCTGGCAAGTGAGGGAGCAGACTGGAGAGAAGCAGAGGACTGGGGCCCTCCCGAAGGCCCACCCAGGTCCAGTCACTCACCCTGAACCAGCGCCTCGCTAAGTTGTTGCGCCACTGCCCTGTGTCCCCTCCAGGGTCCTAGATTTAGGTCCAGCCTCTGTGCGCAGGCTGCCCACAGAAGCGTCCAATACCGACTCCAGAGGGCTCCGGCTCCTCCAAGCCCCAGCCCACTGTTGCCAGAACCGGCCACCCCCCCTACTAGGCCCAGCAACCCCGGCAGCAGCTCCCGCTCCTCCTGACACCGCCTGCGGAGCTCGTCCGGCAAGCACAGTCCCCTGAGTGCCTCATCCAGCCGACTTGCCACCTGGCAACCCCGCTCCCCTGTTAGGAGACGAAGCACGCGGTCTGCAGGGAAAGGGCGCGCTGCCCCTGGGATGTGGCTCATGGCTTTTCCCTGCAGCCTGTGGTAGACGGGAAGCGACAGCAGCAGCTCTGCGAGCTGGGACGTCAGGCTCAGACTGGAGGGATCCCGGCCCAGAGCGCGAAGCTGCATCTCGATGGCAGCATCCAGGCGCTGGGCCGCTAGTCCGATGGGCCGCGCTAGAAGCAGCGGCTCCAGAGAGTTCCGGTGGCTGATTCGCACGGCGGCTTCTCGGGAAGGGTGCAGCTGCAGGTCGCGGCACAGCTGGGGCAGGGGGCCTGGGCCGTGGGCGGGCGCGCTGGGGGTCAGGGTCCCCAGGAGGCGCACGACCGCCTGCAAGCGGCGGGCGCAGTCCCGGGCCTGAAGGAGCTGCTCCCGCTCGCGGAGCAGCCGCAGCAGCACCTGCCGGAGACGCCGCAGCGCGGGAGGGATCGGGGTGCCGCCTGCGGGCTCCCGCCTCCAATCCGCCTCGCCGGCATCGCGGTCCTCGTTTGCCAACGCGGGCCACCACGGCGGCCCTCCCGGAGCTCCGCCGGGCCGGAGGTCCAGGCCGAGGATGCTGGCGGCGAACGGCGGCCCCTGCCGGCCAGGACCCTCTCGGGGGAGAAAGCCCGTCCACCTTCCCTCCCACTGCTCCTCCCCGGTGCCCCCGGCTTGCGCCCACAGCGGGGACAGGCCACCAGAGCGAGACGCCTGGGCCATGGAGCAGCGAGCAGGGAACGAACCTAGCGATCCCCGCCGCCCCGCACCTCCCAACGCCTGCCGTAGCTCGGTCTCCGCCCCGTACCGAGAGCCGTCCCTCACGCAGGAGCCGCGGAGACCGTCATGGCCTCTCTCGCGCTCCGTAGTCGACGGCATATGCCCCTAACAAAGATGCCCGCCCACTGTAGCCTACCCCGCCCTCGGGCTGATGTCAAAGTCTAGACTTAACTTTCGTTTTCGGGTTACTGCCGACTGGAGATGGCGCCGGTTCCGAAGGCTGTGCGGCGAATCGAGCTAGGTGAGTGGCGTGACAAGACGAAGAGGGCTGAGGAGGGCAGGAACAGCCCCCTTGAGTCTGTCGTCTGGACATCTTTAGTAGGATTTCATGCCTCAGGCGGAGGTTGGAGGGCTCCTGCCGTCCGTCCTGAGCCCCCTGACGCGACGCCGCCTTCCTTTCTGATAGACGGCCCTCTGCGGCCTGGCTGCCCGCTGGGGGTCGCTGCTGTCCCAAGATGCTGCAAAGAATTCGGTCCGGAGGGCTCCGGGGAAGAGGTGAGAGAGACCCCGCCTGGTCATTTGAAGTTCTAGAGACCCGCATAGTCGTTTCGTTCATGCCTTCTTTTAATCAGCCGTGCTGAGACTTGCCCTGAGCCGGCACAGAACAGTGCTCTGGGATCTTTGGGGAAGAGTAGCTTTGCAGCCTGCTAGACCCGGGAAGGTTGAGGGACCAGAAGGATGATCCTCATGTATTAAATGGTCAAAGTGAGAACTCAGCGGACAGGTGCGTCTGGGTTGAGGACTGGGCATTGGTACGAGCGTCTTGGGGAAAGGTATTGTACAGAGGTGACAATGGAAGCGCTAGGAAAAGTAAAAAGACCCTCACTAAAGTGAGATCAAAGTGGAGAGGATTTGACTGAAACAGTAAAAAGATGGAACCAGAGAGAAGGCAGAGAATGGCTGGAGGGATTTAGCACAAGGGTTAAGATGTCCTCAACTAGGCAATAGATAGGGTTAATAAGTGGAGAAGACAGGATGAGATTTGGGAGCAACGAAGAGCTAAACTTCTGATTATTTCCTGGTCATCTCTAGAACCTCAAATTCAACAAGTCCAGCCGGGCACAGTGGTGCGCACACCTGTAATCTTAACACTCAGGAGGCTGAGGCAGGAGACTGCCACAAGTTCAAAGCCAGCCTAGGCTAGATAGTGAGTTCAAGGCCAGCATAAACTACACAGCAAAACCTTGTCTCAAAAGGCCAAAAAAAAAAAAAAAAAAACCCTTGTCTCAAAAGGCAAAAAAAAAAAAAAAAAATCAACAAGTCCAAAAGTTAATCCATCATCCTTGCATAGATTGCTTTTGTTCTTATCCCAATTTTAGTTCATAATACAAACTTATGTCTAGTTACTTAATCCAGAAATCTGAGAATCTTTTCATAGTCCAACTTTTCCTTTACTTCACATATTTAGCCAGTCACTAAAATCTACTTCAGAAATGTCTCTCTCTCTTTTTTGGTCTTTTTTTTGTTTGTTTGTTTGTTTGTTTTTGGTTTTTCTCTGGTACCGGAACTGAACTCACGACCTTGAGCTTGCCAGGCAGGCACTTTTGCCGCTGAGCTAAATCCCCAGCCCATTTTGGTCTTTTTGAGCCCAGGTCTCACTATGCAGTTCAGGCTAGCCTTGAGCTCACTTTGTAGCCCAGGCTGGTTTCGAACTCACAATGATCCTCCTGCTTCAGGCTCTCGAGTCCTGGGATTTCAAGGGTGAGCTACCACGCCCAGCTCAGAAATGTCTCTTGAAACAAACCTTTCATTTATGTTCCTGACCCATTACTGCCACAACCTTAGTTCACAGCCTCGGTGGAAGGCCTCATTCCCTTTCACCTGAGTACAGTCATGTCTCGCTAACTACACTTTCCACCCCTAGATCCATCTCCTTCCCCATCACTGTTTCCTATGAGCAGTTCACTGTCCTGATCAACTCTACGTCCACCACTGATAGAGCCCAAACTTAGTGGGCAACACAGGGCTCTATAGATACAGCCCCTTCCTTCTCTGTTGGAACAGCTCCTCACCGGTCTCTCTCCTTACTGGGCACACACTCACTGAGCGCCAACTATGGGCCAGTTAAAGGCACTAGGAAGAGCAACAGTGAACCAAAGAGCTAAAAATCTTTTGGTTCAGTGGATTAGAAGAATCTGGTGGTAACAGCCAGTCGACAAATAAGGAATGTGGCATGTATGTTCAAAGAAAGCACAAAGAGGAGAATAGGGCACAGAGTGGGGCTGGGAGATTAAGAAGAAGAGAAAGTGACGTTTAAGCAGCGATGTAAAGAGGACAGTGGATCTAAAGATCTAAGCAGGAATTTAGGATTGGTGGCTGAAGGGAGGTAACAAGCGAGTAGGAGAAGACTCGTGTAGCTACTGGGGGACCAGATCATGTGTGACCATGGACCACGTAGGCATAGGATGATTCCTGTCCTCGGAAGCTTACACTCACTGAGGAAATGGCTCATCAGAGTCAGAGTGTGGGTTCTGGGAGTGTAGTTCAGTGATAGACCAAATGCGACTGGGTTCTATTCCCACCCCCCATCCAAAAAGTACAGTAGAGTGTGTGGGTCAAACCTTGAAGTCTTACCTCATTTTGTCAATGAGGAAGGTGTTCAGTGAGGTTAAATGACTTCCCCAAAATGAAACACCCAGGCAGGGATAGAGTGAAAACTAGGATGCAAGTGATTCCGCTCTAGCATAGCACTCTTTCCGGTTCCAGTCTTTGTCACCAATGAAGACAATAAAAAGCAGTGAGTGGGGGTACGTGTTGGTTGGGAGAGGGCAGGACTAATTGGACATGAAAACATCTGAGGAGGCTTGGAGGGGAGATGGAATTGGACCTTCAAAGTGAGACAAGGTGTGAGAAAGGAGCTCTGAGCCAGGAAGGGTTGGAGGACAGCTGGGAGGAGACCCCCGAGGCTAGAGGGAGCCGGTGGCCAGGGGAGGATGGCAGCTGAACAGAGGAGGATTGCAAGGGAAGGTTGGAAAGGTCAGCCTGGGGGCTCTTTCTTCGTCAGGGAAATGGTCCAGGAGCTCTGAATCCCAGGCGGAGGTGCTAGATTCAATCTGCTTATGGCCTCGGCAGTGAGGGACGCTGGAAGTCTTTGAGTAAGGGGTAATTTCTGAGAGTCTGGCTTAGGGGAGAAACCGTACAAGGAAGAGGCTACCAGGGGCTGCCGTCCTTATTTCTGCATGGGGGCTCTTCATGTTCAGGGACATGGCAGGGCGCTGCTGGAAGATCAGGTAAGAGGGCTCCATTCCAGGGCCTCCGTGCAGCTAACCTAGCGACAGGGCGGAGGGAGGAGATCCTGGAAGGTACAGAAGGCTGGCCTGAAGGCCGCCGTCAGCCCTCAGGAATGCAGGAGAGAGCAAAAGGAGGTGGTGTGTGGAGAAAGCCAGGTAGAGCAGGCTCTAAAGCTGGGGGAGGGGGTGGCGGGGGTGGATGAGAGCCAGAAGGGTTCTCTGGGCTGGGTGGCTGCTTCGTGGCTGCCGTGGTGGAGAGGTGAAGCCAGGCAACCCCTTGTCTCTCCCAGAGCTTCCTCCAACACCAGCCTCCCCCCACCTCCCCCTCCCAGGATGTAGTGGATTTTCTTCGCCAGCTCGTGGAGAGTGATCCCCAGAGCCTGCGCCGGATCCGTGTGGATGGGAGCCGCGGGCAGCCGCAGCAGTGGCAGCATGGTGGGGAGTGCAGGGCCTGGACCCCAGAGCAAGGCTGGAGCCCTGGGGTGGGCTGAGCCTGGGTGTGCTCCTTGTTCACGTTCCTCTTCCTTTCCCTTTCCCTCTCCTGACAGGTTACCTCCTGGACCGTTTCCCTGCTGAAGGAAACACACCTGCACAGAGTGACAGGGGCAAAGGGGCCGAGGGATCGGGCACCTACTGTGGTCTCCGGAAGTCCTTCCTTTGCCCTCTCCGAAGGTCTGAACCCTGCCCTCCAAGCCCCTCTGCCACTCCGCCCCTCTCTAGTGTCTCAGATAGCCTGCTGCAGGTGGCCATGCCCCAGAAGCTCCTGGTGACCGAAGAGGTGAGATTCTCAGGCGGGGGCTTCCTGGGCCCATAGTCTCACCCTGTCCCTCCCTAATCCGTACCTTTCCAGGTCGTTCTGTACAGTTTGCCTCCCTTTGTGTTCTCTCTCACTCTCCCTGTTTCCTTCTCTTTTCCTGTCACCTGCCCTTCCTTCTCCAGGAAGCCAACCGCCTGGCTGAGGAGCTGGTGGCTGAGGAGGCGCGTATGAAACAGAAAGCAGAGAAGAAACGGAGCAAGAAGAAGGTGGTTGGGGAGTGGAGGGAGGGGAGCCCAGGGGATTTAGAGGAGGGAACGAGGGAGTGTGTGAGAACAGGAGGGCGCTAAGGCAGCCTGCACTGCACCCCTTCCCAGGTAGGCCCTAGGGGCCCAGGCCTGCAGGGTCTCCTGGGAGCTGTCCGTGTGGTGGCTCTAGAATCCCACGATACTGTGCTGGTTGAAATCTGTCTCCTCCTTGCTGCAAAGCCTCTGGCTGGTGACTTTCTTGTCTGCTTTTCCAGAGTGTAACAGTACATACTTCCCAAAGTCCCAGTCATGAATGAAATAGTGTATGCAAAGCTTAGTCCAATGCATGCCATTTGGTAAGTGCTAAAAAAAATTATTTTCATTTTTGCAGCGTCAGAAGGAAAGAAAGCGACAGGAGCGCTTGGAACAGGCCAGCGGGGAGGCCAAGGTGAGTCCCACAGGCGGATACCAAGGGCAGCAAGGGCCTGGAAGAGGGGGGTTGCGAAGGGCGGGGGCCCAACGTGATCCCAGCTCCATCCACCTTCCATCCAGGCCACAGTTACCCCAGAAGAGGCCGAGAGTCCCCCAGCCAGCCCTGGAAGCCCAGCTCAAGGGCAGTGTGGAGCAGAGGAGGTGAGAGCCCCTTCCCACCCTCCTTTGTCTCTGCCCATCTTCTGCTCCTCCTACTTCCAAATAAAATTCATTCCTAGCCCCTCTGTAACTTTCCTTGAGAAATTTTTAAAATGCATTTGAAAATACAGTGTTACTTTTAATTGGCACACAGTGATTGCACATATTTATGGCTACAGTGTGACACTTCAATGCGTACATACAGTGTGTACCTGAGCAGATCACCATCATTGGGATGTGCATCACCTTATCATTCCTTTGCATGAGAACATTCAAAATCTCTCCTAGCTGTTTGGAAATATTCAATTAATTGTTGTCAACCATAATTATCCATAAGTTAGAAGTTATTTCTACTACCTACCTGTAGCTCTGTCCCCATTAACCCTCTTCTTTCCATTTTCCCTCCCCCAAACCCTTTCCAGGTTCTGGTTACCGCTATTCTATTCTCTACTCCTATGAAATCAGCTTTTTAAACTGGCATAGTGGTGCACTCCTGTAATCCCAGCACTCAGGAGGCTGAGGCAGGAGGATCCTTGCGAGTTCAAGGCCAGCCTGGGCTACAAAGTGAGCTCAAGGCCAGCCTGAACGGCATAGCAAGACCCTGTCTCAAAAAGTCCAAAAAAAAAAAAAGCAGCTTTTTAGCTTTCACATACAGGTAAGAACATGCCTTATTTGCCTTTCTGTACCCCTAACTTTCCTTCTGCCCACAGGACTTACTGGATCTGTCTAGCAGTTTTGTGTCTCTGGCTTTACGCAAGGTTGGGGATTGGCTCCCAAGTGCCCACAGAGGGAAGGGACCAAGCCAGGAGCCCCAGGTCAAGGACCAGGGCCCGCAGGAGAAGATGAGCCAAAAGGAAAGGAACTCCCCAAGAGAGGAAAGGCCTGGGCAGCATCCTAAGGCACAGGTGAGGTGAGCACAGGAACCCGAGGCTCTGGGCAGGCACATGAACTAGGGTTGAGGGGGCAGTCCATTAGGAATTCTGTGCTCTTAGAGCCAACAGACCTGGGCTCTGGCTTCATCACTGTCATGCTGACCCTGAGTAGTTTTCTCTGGAGGAGGGCACTTTCTTGCAGAGTTGTCAGTAGAACTGCACATAGTAGCTGGGTGGTACTGGCGGCAGTGTAACAGAATAAAGGAAGAAGACTGGGGAACCCAGGCCTGGAGGCCTGCTTGACTTCCTCCCCATCCCCAGGCATCTCCGGGACTGCTGGCAGCCGCCTCACAGCAGAGCCAGGAGCTGGCGGGTGAGAGCCTTTCTCTGTCCCTCTCACCCGCTTGCTGGGGGAGCTCCCGTGGAACGAACCTTCCCACCCTCTCTTTTTTCCAGAGTTGGGTACCAGCTTTGCTCAAAATGGTTTCTACCACGAGGCTGTTGTTCTTTTCACTCAGGCCTTGAAGCTCAACCCCCAGGACCACCGGTAGGTGGGGGCCTGGCCACTGGGCTGGGAGATCAGGCCTACTCAGGGTGTGGAAGAGCCGGACCCATGGCCGCTTTGTGTGTTTATCAGGTTATTTGGAAATCGTTCCTTCTGCCATGAGCGGCTGGGTCAGCCAGTGTGGGCCCTGGCTGATGCCCAGGTGGCCCTTACCCTACAACCCGGCTGGCCCCGGGGCCTCTTCCGGCTGGGCAAGGCCTTGATGGGACTGCAGGTAATGGGACTGGGACTGGAAGCAGAGGAGAGATGCGGGGAGCAGGTGGTGGGAATGCGGTCTTTGCTGACGTTTCCTAGATGAGCTCCCACTACCATAGCATCTCGATGGTCTGGCACTAGGAGGTGTGGTCGGTCGAGAGTTCCTTGGTTCCCTTGACACCTAACCCTTCCCTTCTCCAATCCCCTTGGACCAAAGCGCTTCGAGGAAGCAGCTGCTGTGTTCCAGGAGACTCTGAGGCGTGGGTACCAGCCGGATGCAGCCTGGGAACTGCACTCTTGCTTTCTCCAGCTTGCTCGGGTACGCGAACTGGGCCCGCTTCAGGCTAGGGCCACAGGGAGCCCCCGCTGGGACTGGGAGACTGTGCAGTGCCGTCTTTGCCTCCAGTGAGTAAGGAGGGTGCGGGAATGGTGGGCTCATGTTCCCTTCTCTCTCCCTTCTCAGCAGGATCAACGAGGAAGAGCCCGTGTGCCCCCTCAGTGGACTGGAGTGCCCCAGTCAGGAGACTCAGGCCTGTTCTCCCTCAGTCAAAGCACGGCTTCCAGGGCCTCAGGGCTTCTGCCTCTACCCTTGTATTACCCTGCACGTCCTCAGAGCCAGCCCAGCTGGTCTTTTCCCCAGACTCAGATTAGAAGACCCCACCCTCTTCATCTCCAGGGCCCCTCAAAGGGCTGGGGCATCCCAAACCTTGGGCGCCGGCATCTACCTCAGGCCAGATGAGGGAGGCTCTTTCATACAGTGAGGCCATGTGTACATCCCACAAGGATAGGGAACACTGTGTGCTGACGGTTTACTACATATTTTGAGACCCTGTACTCTAAATCCATAGTAAGAGCTGGGCATGGTGGCGCATGCCTGTAATCCTAATGCTTGGGAGGCTGAAGCAGGAGGATTGCCACTAGTGTGAATTTGAGGCCCCCCTGGGCTATACAGTGATTTCAAGGCCAGCCTGAATTATACCCTGAATTACAAAAACAAGGCCAACCTGAAGTGCAAAAATAACAAACTCTGTGTTGAGGGTACCCTGCAGTCATCCCTTTTGCCGTAAAGAACCTTCTCGTGAGAGAAGGGGCCCCACAGCCACTGAAACATCCTTCCTTTGGTTCTCAAGCAGATGGCTGCTTCTTCTAGGGGCGGTAAGGCAGTGGAAACTCCATCAGAGCTCAAGATGGGGCACTGCAGCTGGCTGCCCAGCGCTGCAAAATGCTAAGGCACCATGATCACAAGTTCAAGCCCAGCCTGGGCAACTTAGTGACTTAGCAAGATCCTCAAACATGTGCTGGAGATGCAGCTCAGCACAGAGGTGCTAGGATCTATCTGCAGTACTGCTGGGGGCTGGGGCGGGGGCAGGGGGGCTACAGTATGCGGAAGTGTGGGTTTTTAGACTCTAGCAGAGGGAGCTGGGGATTTAGTTCAGCGGCACAGCGCCTGCCTGGCAAGTGCAAGGTCGTGAGTTCGGTTCCCGGTACCGGAAAAAACCCAAAAACCATAAAAAAAAAAAAACAAGACAAAAAAAAGACATATCTAAATTTATTGTTTACTGTGTTAAGGGAGCTGGGGATTTAGTTCAGCGGCACAGCGCCTGCCTGGCAAGTGCAAGGTCGTGAGTTCGGTTCCCGGTACCGGAAAAAACCCAAAAAAAAAAAAAAAAAAAAAAAAAAAAAAAAAAAGACTCTAGCAGAGCCAGCAAGGAGGCACGGGGGACTTTCTGTGCTTCCTGGCCCCAGGGATCTCATTCACCAGGTGGAGCTCTGTGCTCAAGAATGCGGTGACAAGTAGTGAATAAGGGCTGAGTCCTACCCTTCAGCAGCTTGGTGGACGCTGCTTGCCTTTTCCTCACCCCAGTTCTTGCTGTCTTCTCTGGCCACAGCCCTGTTTGCTGCTGGCTCCTTGTGCCATTTTCTGGCCGCGCTGCTATGCCTACCCTGACCTCTCCTTCGTCCAGTGGTCTGACGCCCACCTCCTCCCACTGCCAGAAGATTCTTCGAGGGTTTGCGTTTGAGAAGTCCCTTTCTAGCTCCTGCCTGGAGCCAGTGGGGTCCACACGTCTCTGAGCTCCCTGCACGGTACCAGGCTGCTGCTGCCTTGGCTGCTTGTTTTCTTCACGCCAGCAGTGGACATTGCAGTTAGCCTTTCCCCACAGGAGATTTTGTACCATGGGCCAGTGGCCCTGAGATGGTTCTAATTGTTTCCTATGTAAGAATCAGGATCTCCTTTTGGCTTCTTTAAGATCGTGGCAGCCTCCCTTAGTTGGTTCTTCCCTGGCCATGGCTAGGACTCTTAAGCCCACTTAAGTGTGGATCCTTAGGGGACCTGTACCCACCCCTGAACCACTCGTGAGGATAAGTGATGCTTGTGCCCTGTGAGTTTTGCGCGATAACAGTTTGCACTTGGAGAGAGATGTTGAAACATCTCTCATATAGGACTCCCCAATATTATTGTTTATGATTTAGGCTGCTTAACTACTATCTAGCAAGATGAAATCTGCCATTACTAGTTGGATCATCTTGGTCAGCTCTCAATATTTTAGCCTCAGTTTCCTCATCTGTAAACTGGGGGAATTCCCTACCTCACAGGGCTGTTGTGAGGACTGAAAGAGTAATAAAATACCTACAAAGTGCCTGGTACATAATGGGTGCTAAATAAACCAAATTTCGCCTGCAGTTGTCTTACATATTTGTGATCCCTACAGTAGGAAAAAGAATAAGAGTGAATTGCTGCTAAAGTTGAGAAAATCCAAAGTTCCTGGGACTGCGGGTCTCAATGTGTGGTCTCCGAACAGCATCAGCATCAACCAGAAACTTGTGACAAACGCAAACCCTCAGGCCCCAGGCCAGGCCTACATCAAAGCCCAGAAATGTGTTTCAATAAGCATTCGGGTGGTCATGATGGACATTCCATGGGCTCCAGCACAGCAGACATCCATCCAGAGGACATTCTGGAGGGACAGGTTTGAGTGTTGTTGCCTATGACTTGATTTTTGTTTATTTTTTTATCTTTTCACGACAGGGTCTCACTATGCAGTTCAGGCTGGCCTTGAGCTCACTTTGTAGCCCAGGCTGGTCTCGAACTCGCAATGATCCTCCTGCCTCAGCGCCCCCTGCCCGCCCCCCCAAGTGCTGGGATTACGCCCAGCTGCCTAGCTGCCTCCGGCTTGAATACAAGAGGTGGCAGCACTGTGTGGGCTGCAGTTTAGGAAGCCTCATGGGGGTGGGGGGGGGTAGGATATGGTTCAGAGCCAATTAGCTGGATCCTACTTTCCTAGCTAGAATGACTTGCCTGGGACTTCTTTGCTCATCTCTGTTTGGGGAGTGGTGGTTGTTTTTATTTAAGTAGGAATTAATGACTCCTTAAGAGGTCTGCCCACAGGGCCTTTTGTTGGGCTGGATCTGGATGCTTCAGAAACTTTCCTAGGGCTCCCAACCCCTTAAAGAATAGTCACTGGCCAGGACCGTGTGGTGTGTTAGCCTTTGCATGAGCTAACTCCTTGCTCTTCTAAAAAAAATTTTTTTTAAATACTTGGGCCAGATTCTCCACGCTAAGCTGCATCTTTAGTTTGGTTTTTTTTTTTTCTGTTTTTGTTTTTGCTTTTTTTGAGATAGGGTCTCTTGGGGTGAGGATATAGCTCCGTGGTATAAGCGCCTGCCTGGCAAGTGCAAGGTCCTGAGTTCAATTCCCAGTGCCAAAAAAAAAAAAAAGATAGGGTCTTTTTAAGTCCTCAAATCACCGAAACTGGGCTCCAACTTGGTGATCCTCCTGCCTCAGCTTCCCAGAGTGCTGAAATTACAGGTGTGTGCCACTACACTCAGTGCTCTTCTAATTAGCAGGTAAATGTTTCCTCCCAAGCACCTCTTAGCCTGTCTTGGACTGGAATTTTCTAGCCAAGAGCCACAGGACTCCTGACACCTTGCCTCCACTCTGCGCACATTCACGGTCCTAATTGATAGGGTTCTGACCCAGCAGCCTGGGTTTGGAGTCTTCGGGAATGGAAAGCAGGTGAGTAACCATCTTGGTTTTCCTGGGGTGTGGGTCAGTCTTTCATTGCTATGACTGGGACAGTGCTGGGCAAACAGAAGAGTTGGTCACCATCTAGGAAGTTTCCAGAAAGGCAGCCTGTTGGTGATGAAGGGAATAAGAGCAGTAGGAGCCGGCGTGGTGTATAGGTTGCATATGTGTATTGAAAGGGCAGCACAGTTGCAAAGAATAGTTTCTATGTATAATGACTGGCAGATGTTCAACTCTACAGCAGTGGTCTTTGTCTATTCCTATCCACAAGGTCATTTTTTTTCCCTTCATTTGTCCAGGCTTGTGTGATTGTCACTGATTCATACAGTTCTTGGTCACTGGGAAAAAATCACACCTCTGCTGTGACCATCCACCCACCCCAAAGCCTAGCCTTGAATTCTCTCTGCTCTTACCTTCTGCAGTGGCCAGAGATACACACTGCCTCCCTCGGGTCTCTGCCAGGGTCTGGTCCAACTTGCACATTCAGCCACATTAACCTGGCTTAAGCAGCACTTATCTCTCCCCTCTACCCCACCCCCATGCTCTGCCCACAGTAGGAAATGTTAACTCCCTACCTTTGGCCCCTTTCCCGCTGTTCTTTCTGCAAATCCTTTGCTTCTTTCAGATAGGCTCAGTCATCTTCATAGGGATAGTACCTGTCCTGACCAAAAGCATGTGTTCCTGAGTCCGATGAGCATGAAGATTAGCCTCACCTCACCGAAACAGCCTGTACAGCCTGGCTAATCTTCCTTGGGCTCCCGTGACTTCCTTTCCTTATCCTGAGAATGAGAATGAAAAATCTCTGACCTAGCTGGGCGTGGTGGTGCACACCTGTAAACCCAGCACTTGGGAGGCTGAGGCAGGGGGATCGTTGTGAGTTGGAGGCCAGCCTGGGCTACTAAGTGAGCTCAAGTCCAACCTGAACTACACAGCAAGACCCTGTCTCAAAAAGATTAAAAAAAGAAAATCTCTGGCCCATTGGGTAATTGTAAGGCTTAAGCCATCCAAAGCACTCAGAACAGGGATAGTTATAGCCCCCAAATGCCAGGTTCTCTCCTACTTTCCAGTCTTGTTATGTTTTTTTTTTTTTTTGGTTTGGGTTTAGTTTTTGAGACAGGGTCTTGATATACACTTCAGGCTGGCCTTGAATTTGTGGTGATCCCCCTGCCTCAGCCTCCTGAATGCTGGGATTATAGGCATGCAGCACCACACTCAGCAGTTCAGGCTCCCTTGAACTCACTATGCAGCCCAGTGTGGTCTCAAACTCATGGTTCTCCTCCTGCCTCAGGCTCCCAAGTGCTGGGATTACAGATGTAATCCATACTCAGCTTTGCTTTCTGGTCTTGTCCACCCACCCTAGAACGTCCTTTCCTTCACCCTCCGTCTGCAGCTGGGGCCTTAGTTGACACCCCCCCACACACACCCTTGGGGCATCTTTGGAAGTGGAGTTGTGTATCTGAGCAGAAGCAGGGGGCAGTTTGAGGAGGGCCGAGAGGACTGAGGGGAGACAGGGAAGCAGGAAGAAACCTAAGCCTGCTCTTTCAAAGATCAGCTGGGTCAGCCAGGGATGGGAAGTCTTGTAGCTATCAGGTGTCCCCCTTCCCTCCCCTATCACCCTGCAAGAGGGTGATTAATCTCCACAGAATAAACAAATGTCAGAAATGGCCGCCGTGGACCTGGGCTGAGATGCCCAGCAGGCAAGCCCAGCCACTCCAAGCTCTGCTGCAGTGGGTCAACTTTCCAACCCCTTGTCCACTGGTCCTGGTGGGTACAAGGGCAGCACTGCAGCTACACAGAAGCCCCAGAGGTAGGGGGTGGCCTCTGCAGACAGCCTTCACTTTGTCTCAGTGTAGGTTTTTTTGTTTTGTTTTGTCTTTGAGACAGGGTCTTGCTATTCAGTTCAAGCTGGCCTTGAGCTCACTTTGTAGCTCCAGCTGGTCTCAAACTCAAAACGATCCTCCTGCCTCAGCCTCCCGAGTGCTGGGATTACAGGCATGCACCACCACGCCTGGCTAGCATAGGGTTTTTAATGCAAGTGGAGGAACAGATAGGGAATCCACTTACAAATGACTGCAGGGCAGGGAGAGAGGAAACAATCAAGCCCATGTTGCCTCTGGGGCCAGAATCTATCTTAGAGGTCTCCCAGGCCCGTCTGGTTAGAGAGGCAGGATAGAGTCCTTCGACCACAGGCAGCCAGTAGGGGTTTAGTGGCCTGTCAGCCGCAGGCAGTCCCGGCCCCCTTTCTTTCTGTCCATTGTCTCTGAGCAGAAGGACGACAAACACTCTGAATGTTGATGGGGTGTCTGGGTCAAATCCTGATCTTGAAGTTCTTCTTTTGTAAAATGGGCATAATTATACACCTACCTTATAGGGTCGCTATGGGCTTGCCTTCTGGGGATCTCAGCCCAGGTCCACCTGCGTTTCAAGCGCTTTTCACAGCGCTGCCACCAAATCTCTCCGATAATCCCCATATTTTGCTGTCATTGGCCCAGAGGTCTGGACTGAGGTGTTTAGCAACAGAGTTTCAACTTTATTCTCACAACTGGGAAGTCTGGCCTGTAGGCGGGAACAGACCTGGGCGGGACCTCTTCCCTCCACCCCCAGCACAGACAAGACGAAGAGCGGGGCGGTGAGGAGTCCAGAGCCCCAGAGGCCACGGCTGGCAGTGGCTCTGCCTTCAATCGTCTACCTGTATCTCTTCGTCCGATACGTGGGCCCCGGAGTCAGGTCCAGTGGGGTGGGGGCCAGGACTTTGAGCACCATTGGGCAGCGCTAGGCGGCGCAGGACGCCAGGGGACAACGCGTGTAGCGAGGCCACATCGGCGCGCATCTCCTCCACGTCGCGCTTGAACTTGGCACGGCGGTTCTGGAACCAAGTGACAACCTGCGCGTTGGCCAGGCCGAGTCGAGCAGCCAGTCCGTCGCGCTCTGACGGTGCCAAGTACTTTTGGAAGACGAATCGCCGCTCCAGCTCCAGCACCTGCTGCGCGGTGAACGCAGTGCGGGACTTGCGCCTTCTGCGGGCGGCGGAGCCAGGGCCCAGCGCGTCCGAGGCGGCCTTGCCTGCAGGGAGACGGCGGGAATCCGCTGTGGCCCGGGAGGAGAAGCCGGGGGTGGGGTCCGGCCCGCGGAGAAAAAGAACCAGGAAGGCGGAGGAGGACCAGAACCGCGTACCGCCCCAAGCGGGTGGGGTCGGGCTGAGCTGGGGATGGGGCGCAAACTGCAGACCGCGCCTGGGGTTCCCGAGGAGCAGGCTGGGGGGGCGGGAGAGAAGGGCGGCGCAAACCGGCGGGGTCTGGCGCAAGGTCCGGCCCCTGGAGCCCGCGGGCCAGCAGGTTAGGGGTGGCACCAGAGGCGGGTCAGAGTCGGGACGGCGGCCCGGCCTGATGAAGGTGGAAGGACCTCCCCAGCCTCCGGAGGACGGCAGGACACTCCGCGTACGGCCGCGAGCCCAGCCGCGGGGAGAGACGAGCGCGCGCCCGGCGCCACGCCGCAGACCTTGGGCCCACGGCGCCCCGAAGTGCGGGCTGCAGCGAGCGCGGGGTGTGCAGGGACAGGGACGGGCCTCTCCCCCGGCGTTTTCTGCGACGCCCCTGCCCCGCCCCGGGCCTTTTGTCTCTCACAGCCCGCTGGGTCGCAACTGCCCCGCCCACGGCGATCGCCCCACGGGTCTCCCCCTTCTCCGCAGCCCGGCCGCTCCCCGTGCGCCGGCGGCCTCGGAGAGGACCCCGGAGTTAGGAGGGGACAGAGGGGCGGGAGGAGCCACAGGTGCGAGTCTCGACGCGGGGACCAAGGGCAGGAGCGGGTTAGGGTGACCCGGCCAGGGCGAGGCGAAGGTTTGAGCCCGAGAGCCAGACAGAGAAGGAGGGGGCCGCCGAGGTGGAGTCGAGGCCCGCGGGTACCTTCGGAGGGCTGCGGGGGCCCGCGCGCGTCCGCTCCGCGGAAGGTTTTACTGGTCAGCTCCTGCAGCGCGCACAGCGGCGACGCGGGGCCCGGGCCCGGCTCTGCGGGCTGCGGCGCGGAGGGCGCTCGCGGGGCCACGCGCGGGCCCAGGATGTCCGCGATGCCGAAGGGCGTCCGCGGCTGGCGTCCCGAAGTCATGGCCCGCCGGGATGGAGTGGTCCCGCCGCCCGCTGCGCTTTACTCTGAAGCCGCCCGGGCCCCCGCGTCGGCTCCCAATTCGGGCCCCCTGCCTCGGACCCGCCCCCGGCGCTGAGTCCCGCGTGCCCCTCCTTCTGCGCCCCTATCTCTCCCCCAGGGCCACGGAGGCCTGGAGCCCATGGACGGCCCAGAAGCCTTATTGCTACAGGGCGGAGAGGCGCAGGGAGAAGCCCGCCAGACTAGGGCCGCGTTGTGGGGCGCAGCCCGGCGCGCTCACACCGGGCCCGTTCCGCTGCAGTCTGTGTGCCGTCCGCCTCTCCCGCCTTGCCGCTGCACCAGCTCATAAACTCGTGGGCGATAAAACTACTTTTCCTGGCCGCAGCGTCTGGGAATTTGCGACGTTTTAAGGAGGAGGACCAGGGCTGATTGTGCTAGGATCCCTGACCTCAGTTAGACCTCAGTCTCCTAACCTGGTCCCTTCTTCTGCTTCAACCCGTGCAAAAAGCCGCTCTTAAAGACACCCTGGTGGCTGGCAGCGATTAGTGTGGCGCGGGGGTCTGGAAGGTGAGACCCAGGAGGACCTGGCCCAGCTGAGCAACAGCAATAATGGGAGTGCCACGAAGAAGCCAGTGCAGGTGAGCAGACGAGTCTGCTCTGCCAAGGCTTAGAGGACCCAAGTAACTCCAAATACAGGGAGACGCGAGCCTCAGGAGAGAAATATGCTGCACTGGAGGTGGAGCTGTGCTCAGGAGGGGTCTGGCCAGGGAGGCTGGCCCTGCACAAAGGGCCTTCGACTCACCTTATTGGTCACTCAGTGGATCTGGCTTTTTATGAAACTCTTGCAGTTCAGGTGTGGTTTCTGCAGCCATAGAGGCTCGGTAATAGCCACGGAGAGGGGACTCCAACCAGGGTGGAGGGACTGCCCAGGAAGACTGACTTGAAGGTTCTCCGGGCCCAAGCATCTGATGGCTCCCCTGCCGACCCAGGCACCAAGTCTGAGGCTGCTCTATTCATTGCTATCTTATCTGGGCCCTGTCTCCTTTCTGCTCACATTTATTCTGGCCCTGGGCTTACATCTGGCTGAGCACCCAGTGAACTTCCTGTGGTGAAAGAAGGCAGCTGAGAGACAACCCTAGATTGAGGCGCGGCAAGGAGTCAGCTTTCTTCTAGCTCACCTCATACACAGTGGCTGGAGAGCTCACAGCCCAGGCCCAAGAAGCCCTGCCACTCTCGAAGATGCTGCTTCACTGCCAGGGCAGTTGGGAATTAGTGTTCCTCCAGTCATCCCCACCCCCAGTGCTATGAAGAACCGGACCAGTCCGTCCTGAACTTCCACCATGTCACCTTCCCTGTAGACCTCTGCACTCCCACCACATATGGCTGCCCCTGTGTTCACCTGTCTCTTCCTTGGGGCACCACAAGCAGGGTTTAGGAGAGCCAGACTCCCTGACATGGACGGGAATGCATCTAAACAGTGGTAAAGGGGCCCCTCCAGTGACACCCCGGGACACCCAGACAGTCACACAGTGCTTTCCTAGTGGCCTGGGCGACAGACTTGAAGCCCGATAGGCCACCGCTGGGTCAGGGAGCAGAGCCAGGCCATGGTGGAAAGCCGGGCTGCTTCAGGACCTTGTTAATTGGTTATTAATGGTAGGGGGCAGGGGAGGGCGGGAGAGATGCTCTGGCTGCAGGCCTCAGCACCATCCTGTGGTTTCACTTAACCTGCAATTAAACAGATCCCAAGAGGCAGCAGGAACTGCCCTACCCCATCCCAGGCATGTCACCAAACAGACACTGCAACGGGCACTCATGCATCTACTCTGCGGCCTTTATGTGTGTGTCTCCCTCTGCTCTCAATTACCCCTGTGTGTCTGTGAGGCGCGTGGGGCGTTCCTGGTGGGCCTCTGACTTCCTGCCCTTCCATCTCTCCCAGACTACCTTCTCCCCTCTGCAGCTCGGCTCAGGTAATGGGGTTGGGCGGTCCCCAGACAGGAGTTTGGGGGAGGGGAGGGAAGCGGAGACTAGTAAAAAGGAAGATGCCTCGGACAGCAGAAGCCAAACCAAGGTCATCTCAGCGGCCAGGGAGTAGTCCAGACTATCCTGGGGCCACAGAAGGGGGCTTTTCCCAGTGAAGCATCTGGAACACGAGCTGGGGCGAAACCGGATCCGAGGAGGGAGCCAAAAGGAGGGTGAGTGATTAATGAGGGAGATTAAGAGATTAAACCTTGGTTCTGGGTTTGAGGGGGCTCTCAGCTGTCTCATAGACCTCCCTGCCATGCCAGCCAGGAAGGTGGAGGCTCCAGGAACTCATCACACACCTCTTCTGGCCCTAGCCCGCCCCCCCCCACCCCAGGCCAAGCCTTGCCTGCCGCAGGTCTTCCTCTAGCTGCACCAACTCACAGGCTGCAGGGGACCCCAAGATTTTCCTCTCCATCGTACTTCTCTGGCAGTCTCTTCTCTCCAAGGTTTCCCCTCATCTTCCCTTCAGACACTTCTGGGTTTTGCACTGTCTCTCTTTGTAAAGATCCTCCCATTCCGACCTGCACCCCCGTGGGAAGGCACCCCACTTCTCATAAGGATGCTCTGCCCCTCGCCCCCTTCAGACTTCCCTTCTCGCCCCAAGTCCTATCCTTTCTTTTCCATTCGAACCATGTCTCTCACCTTTGGGTTCCTCTACCCAGGCCTGCCCCAGCTCGCCAACCCCACTTCGGCTGGAGGTCAGCTCAATAAACTACCTTTAGGCTCCGGTCCGCCCTCGCAATCCTCAGAATTCCGAGTTTCGTGAGTGTTGGTGTTGGAGGAATCTCACAATAACCCCCTTGGGGCGGTGGACAAGGAGTGTCACAGAAGTCTGCACTCCTCCACGCTTAAGGAAAGTGCACAGAGAGAGAAGGAAGTGGGAACTGAGAGGAAAATCCAGGCGAGGAGCGTCGGGACGGGTGTCAGCTAATAACACGGGATTTGTTTTCTTCAGATGTTACTTCGTAGTGACCCGATTCAGACACTGAAATTTTAGTTTCCTTCATTACTTTGGGGACAGTGAGTCTCTGAGCTCTTTTTGGTCCTGTTTGCTGGTGCACAGTTCGCTGAGCTCAGGGCCATCCTTTGGGTGGGCGCCCCCGCCCGCTGCTTAGCAAAGTCCCTGCCCCGCCTCCTCTCTCCCTGCACACCCTGGGAAAGACTGGCCAGGCTTTAGAGGAACCCATCTTCCTCTGGGTCAAAGGCGGGCTCCTCCTGCCCGGGTTTAGTGAGCTCGGGAGACGCACGGGTCTGATAGGCGGGGGCAGATTTGGCCCTGCAGGTGATACCTCCCCCCTCCCCTGCAAGCACCTTGAGGCCAAGGAAACCCTCGGGAGGGCTGGCTGCACCTTGGGGTGGCCCTGGGGTTGCATCTCTTTGACTTCAAAGGGCTCCGGGTGTTGGTGCCCTGCGTTCTGGGTCTCCAGAAGGGCGGGCGTGACTCCCTCCGCCCAACAGGTCTATACCCTACTGACCCCAGGTCAGAATGGAAAGGGGAAATGGACCCACGGCCGGCGGGGAAGCTGCTCAGAGCCTGCAGCTGGTAGGTATCAGGCGACCCAGGGGGATGCATCACAGCTGCTGCAGCCACTGCACTGATAGACAAAAGGAGGGCTGGGCCTGAGCCCTGTCAGCTTCAAAGCCTGGGTCTTTAGAGGACTCCTCCTGAGGCTTGGTGCTCAGATCCGGGGCCTGGCCTCACTTATCTTCAGGCCCACCCTTTAGGTGACAAAAGTTGCCGGCAAGGCCTAACCAGAGGGCCTTCAGAGGAGACCCAGGCTGCTCCCCAACTCCAGAGGCTTCAGGGCCCCCAAAAGTTTCCAGGAGCACCATTACTCTTCCCCAGCCCACACCGCTCCAGAGCCAGGCACTCCTACTAGGAAATGCCGGTCTGCACACAGACCCGGAGAAACAGCCTGCTCCAGAGCCTGAGTTTCAATCTGGAAGGAAAGGGGCAGGTAGTCTTGAGAGAAAATTCATCCAAAAGCCCGAGGTGCTGGTGTTGCGGTCGAAGGCCTCAGCAGCAGCAGTGATGCCATTGATGGGGGGTGGGTGTGGGGTGGGTGTGTGTTTCCTGGAGGAGGTGAGAGGGCCCCTGGAGTGGGGGAGCATTCCAGACAAGAGGCCTGGAAACAGAAATGTTTGGGACTCTTGAAGAGTGTCAGGAAGGCACTGCATCCACACCAATGGCTCTGGGGTTGTCCCCAGCGAGGTCCCTGTTCCCTGCCCCCACACCGCAGTGCTTTCTCAGCCCCTTCAGCCTCTCCAGCGCTGCCTTCTTTCAATCTTCCTCTGTGGGGCCAGGTGGGATTTCCCGGAAACTCAGGCAGATTGTCAAGCTGAAAAACTTCCACAATGGAGCTCCGGTTTTTCCTTCGGGTTTGAGCTCTCCAATTCAGTTCAGGGGCCTCCACCGCCTCCTCTGCCACTTGACCTCCATCCACAGAAGCCTGGTGTCTTCAGCCCTTACCACGCTCTAAGCCCTGGAGTCGGATGCCTTCCAGCATGGGATTTGGGCTTTACGCTCACATTCTTGGGACCTTCATGCAGCCTGCTCCGTTCGTTTGGCCCAGTTTGCTTCCCTTAGGAGGTCCTTGCTTTGGATGTTGCTGTCCCAGTTCATCAAGTTTCTGGCTACTCCATTTAGAGGCTGCAGAACAAGGCGGCTGGCTGGGTTTATTGCCGAGCCCAGCGTGCGTGGCCAGGCTCATGCAGACGATGCAGGGCTCATACAGGAAGGAATGCCGGCTGAATGGCCCAGCTGAGCTGTCACACTGCCACTTCCTTCCCGTCACTTGACACTGCCCTTGTTCTCCACATCAGCTCTCACTTTATCTCCGAGGCTCCCACCGCATCCCTGCTTTAGATTCCTCCCTCTTCTGTTCCTGTCCCTCCAGTTCCAGAACCCAGATGCAATTCTTTGGATTTTTCTTTTTCCTTTTCAGGTCTGCAGTGGCCATTGTCCAACCTCAGCCCTCCTCTCTAATCCACATGGAATTAGGACACCTCCATGCAGGCCTGCACCGTAATGCTGTGGCAGACAAGGACAGTGAGAACTGCCCTACAGAAAGCCTGGCCTTCACCAAAAAGAGCTCATGTAGTTGGCCGGGATTTCAGCACACTTTGAGTTTTTCCTAGGATCCTCTACCCCTCTCTTTTGGCAAGACACTCAGGGCCTCTGTCAGTACAGCAGAGGCCTTTATTCACGAAGCTCAGAGAATTTTTGTTTTGTCTTTTTGAGACAGGATCTCACCATGCAGTTCAGGCTGGTCCTGAAATCACTTTGTAGCCTAGGTTGGCCTCGAACTCACAATGATCCTCCGGCCTCAGCCTCCCGAGTGCTGGGATTACAGGCGTGCACCATCACGCCCAGCTCGATTTTTTTTTTTTTTTTTTTTTGGAGGGAAGGAGCACACAGGAAAAACCCTGAGTGTGTGGTAAAGGAGGAAGAAGATAAATGCTTTTTAAAAGCTTTTATTTCAAAAAATAAAGCCACAGTTAATTTTACATAAATATCTGGGGAGGGAAGGGGAGAGGGGTGGAGTGGGGGCTTGGCCCCTACCTCCTCTTCTCTTTTACACTGTATTGTAAAAGCAAAGGGGATGGCTAAAGAGAAATAAAAGCAATAGTCAGTGGGCAGCATTATTTGAGGGGCCCCTCAGCCCACCCTTACCCCAGCTTACCTTGCCGAACCAGCGGGAGAGCCATATCTGCTTCATTGTCATGTGGTCAGGGAGAACTTCATTGTCAAAAAGGAGCTGTACCTAAAAGGGCCATGGAGACAGTTTCAGGGACTCTCCTCTTGGTTCTAGACTTACTCCACCTACCCTAGACTCCGTCCCTCCCTTCCTTAGCACCTTCTCCAAAAGCACCTACTGTGAGATTACTCACATGCTGTGGACTTAGCATCAAGCGGTGACACAGGACCCTCCGGAGATGGCGGACCTCAGCTCTAACAGAACATCGGACATACTTGTTCTAGGGGCAGAAAAGGGAGGCGAGAGGACGAAGTGCATGGGGGAAGGGCCACGGGGAGGTGAGTCGCCTTAAAGAGGCCCTCCTTTCACCCCCTCTCACCTGCAAGACACTTTTATTCTTGTCTTTGCCAGAACTGGGGGAAAGAGAAATAGGTTAGAGGGCCCCACTCTCCCTCCGTCCTCCAGCCAGAACCACGGTATACTCCTCACAGGAAGGACACCCTGTGCACCGCCTGACGTCTCCCTGGCCCCTTTTGGCTCTGGTCATTGGCACTGTCACCTCACACAACCCCTGATCTGCACCTCACCTCAGCCGCTCCAGGCATAAGCTCAGCTGCTCATCATAGCGATAGTAGTGGGCTTTAGAGTGGTCGAAGCTGCTGAAGGGGAGGCCAAGGTTGCTCAGGGCTGGCTCTGAGAAAAACAGGGTACTGAGGAGGATGGTACAGGCTCCATAACCCTCTTTTCCCAGACAGCAAAAATAGATAGAAGGAATGCTTTGGGAGCTTTGCTTTACCCTCCTCCTGCCAGGGACATACCTTCCCCACTGGGCTGGGTTACCCTGTCCAAGCCTC